TATGTATATATACATACATCTTCCGTTTGTGTTATATTTGTAATAACAAAAAAAAACTTCTATATGCAGTCATTCTAATGCGAGTTTTTATGTATATGTAAATATACATATATGTACATATATATATGCATGAGCCATGACCAACTTAGACTTGCAATTCTAAAAATGCTCAGAGCGAAAAAGAAAACATACAAACATCAAGTTGGTATGCCACATTTTATACAATTAAATATTTTAAAGAGTTTATATTTTTTAAATTGAAATGATGCATATAATTAAGATTTTCCTTTTTTCCAAAACCGAATTTGTATGCCTCATCCTTTACAATTAAATATTGTTTTTTATTTAAACAATATATAATCACTATATTTTTGAATTAAAAAGATGCAAAAAATTTCCTTTATTTGTATTTTGTAAATTTTAATTGAAATTTTAAATTAAAAAAAAAATTAAATAAATATTTGTTTAACATACTTATTTATTTAAATTATATCTTATTTAATAATTTCACATACTCACCAATTGTGGAAAGGGTATTAAATGTTGGGTCTGCTATTAATATTAAATTTAAGAACTGAAGATATGAGCAGCTAAAGTTCAGGCAGAGACCGCATGGTAAGTTTGCGATAAGCCCTTCATTCACATTCATTCTTGAGCGAATCGCAACGAAATGAGAGCACAGAACTTAGCTTGCGATTCGCTAAAGAGTGCAAGAAGAATGTGTAACTTATAGTCGAGTCGCACTCCCAGTTCTAAGTCGATCGGCGTAGATACTGCACGATGTTGGTCCGACATATATTCATATATCTTCTCTTGCCCAGTTACGCTTTGGCACAGATTTGCACAGTAAATAAATATGTTGGGAACCAAGTAAGTGGTTCATGTTTGCTACAGATACATTCATATATGTGAACAACTTTTTTTTTTATATATTATATCTATTTCAACATATAGCTAAAAAAAGTTAAAGTATGCTGCAATGGCTATTACCGTACACGCAGTGCGCAACTCGAATGTTCTCCCATATGTAAAAATTGTAGGAAAGGCAAATGTATAAAGCCAAATGTCTGCCAATGCTTTGCGGGCTACGACAATTTCAACCATTTGCCAAATGCTTAGTGAGTAACTTTTTTATAAACTGTTGTCTGTACCAATTTCTATAACTATCTACATATCCAGTTGCGTTCCGAAATGCAAGGGCGACTGTAAAAACGGATATTGTGGATCGCCAGGAAAATGCAAGTGTGCCCAGCGTTACAAACTCGATGAAGCCACTGGGCATTGTTTACCGATCTGCGACAAAGGCTGTCCTAATGGAACTTGCAAATTACCCGGAATTTGTATATGCAATGAGAATTACACATTAAATATAAAAACAAAGATATGCCAGCCGATTTGCAAGGCCGGCTACAGTCTGAATGTAACCCAAAATATTTGCGAACCTATCTGCGAAGACGGCTGCCTAAACGGCAGCTGCTCGGTCCCAAATGACTGCGAATGTCTATCTGGATATATAAAAATTAGTAATTCTTTGTGTCTGCCGGATTGCCCACATGGTTGTCAGAATGGTTTTTGTAGTGCTCCAGGAAAATGCACGTGTAACGAAGGATATTCTCCAGTCACTGAGAACAGATGTGTTCCAGAATGTAAAGATGGATGCGAGAACGGTGTCTGTAGTGCTCCAGGGAAATGCACCTGTAACGAAGGATA